TAAAATAACTTTACTAAGCACTGTTATGGACATAACAGTTTGCACAACTAAAATAATACAGATTTTAGATGCTTGTACTTAAGTGCAATTTTTAAGAATTTTACAAAGACATATATTATAAATAAATTAGACTTTCCAGTGGGGACGTGTTGTCCAGATGACTTCCGTCGGACAACTCACGGACGTCCAGACCGTTGTAAGACGTCCGCTGGACAACGCAAAGCCACTGAACAGCATTGTTAATATCTTCCTAGTTACTAAATAGTTTCAAACCATTTTTAACTTGATTTTTCGAATCAAGACAAGCTCAATTTTTGATATTTTGTGCGAAGTTGTTAAGGTTTTGACTTATCCTATTTTATAAATAACATAAAACTTGTTACTTTCTAAAAACGCGGTTAGGAAAATCTTATAACTTTATACCAAAATGTTTACGATTTGTCCTCAAAAACAAACCAATCATATAAATTGTCCTACTTGTATAAAATTTCAGGAAAGACAAGTGACAGTTTTATATTATATATACTTCTAAATTCTATATACTTTTATATAAGTTTGGTTATCAAACGTTTAACAGCCTCTCAATTTTTAATTTGAAAAGTATCTCCTACAAATTTCTCACTATTGAAAATTATTTCACTGAAATTTTATGGTGTTTTGTAGAAATCCTTATTTCGCTGAAATTTTAGGGTGTTCGATAAGAATCCTTATTTTCCTGCAAAATATTATTTAATCTAAACTGTTTATTGGAATCTTAATTTAACAAACCATTCAATTCCAAGTAAATTTAAACTGAAAGGTTTTTGTGAACAGTGGATTTAAAATTTATTTCAGCGTTTAAAAATGTACAAAAATATAAAAAAGTATACAAATTTTTTATTTTATTTTTTATTTTTAACAACTATGTTTCCAACAGGGCTGCAATCAACCACTATTAGGGTTAGAAGTTACTGAAAGAGAAAAGATGAAGATTGTAGAGCAAGATAACGGTTAAAAGACGACTTAAAAGATTGCAAATTATATGAATCAGGAAAGAAAGATGAAGAAAGCAAATTCCAAAGAACTAATGTTCGAGGAAAAATACTAGACGAATAAGAGTTTTTGGAGCACTTAAGAACAGTCACAGAAAAAGGATAAGACTTAATTAAATGACGAGTAACACAAAAATGAATTTTAGTCGATAGCACAAAAGACGCTAGCTCTTTAGAGCAGTGCTCATTATAGTATTTGTAGAAAAGAAAAAGAGAAGCAACATTACAACGATATGATAATGGTTAGAGGTTAGTTGCAAGAGCAGGTCCAACTATGTTTACAATGCGTTTTTGAACCTTGTCTAAAAGAGAAAGAACCTTGTCTAAAAGGACATCATTAGAAGATCCGCGCCAGATATGACAACAGTATTCCATACATGGATGGATTTGAGATTATAGAGACAAAGAATAGAATCCGGAGTAAAAAAGTGACGAGCACAACAAAGTGATGCAACTTTAGCATATGCTAACTTTGCAATGGATTTGACTATTAGTTTCCAAGAAACATCGGAAGCAAGAGGTAATCCTAGAAAATGAAGGGTAGATGACTCATCGAGTACATTAAAATCCATAAATATATGGAGATCTAAATTATTGCAATAGCAATTTACTGAAAACATTTTTTATTTGATTTAAAATTCACCAGCCACTGTGAGCCCCATGCTGTAGCAGAAGTGAGATCTTTTTCAAGCTCAAAGGCCCCCTCCGACTACTATCTCTCCAGTTTATGTGCTTTTGTTTCTAACTATTTTGTTGAGAGAGTCTGAGACTGAGAAAAAAAAAAAGTAGAACAAAAATGTTCTACGTTATAATTAATATTATTATTATTTTTATTCTAGTACATATTTTATTTAATTTTTGCTCGTTGCCAAAAAAAAATTTAGTAGCCCTGGTTTGAAGTAAGGAAATTGTATTATATAACTTAGAGCCATATTTAAAACTTTCTTAATTACTTATTGAATAGAAATTATTTTGTTAAAATTTTCAAGCCTACACAATATATGTTTCTTACAGAACAATGCCTACAGAATCTAAAAAATGCATCATATCATTGATGATATGATGCATTTTTTTATGATATGATCAAAATTAATAGTAAAAATACATATGCTTATATAGAGAGTATTATCATCAGCGAACAGTGCCATCTTTGATCATTAATGTAAATTAAAAAGAGTATAGGGCCTAGGATCAAACCTTGAGGATCCCCAGAAGTTACAGGATATAAAAAAGAGTGCTGTCCATCGAGGACAACCTTTGTATAACGATTAGAAAGGAAGGATTCAATAATCCTTAAAGATGTTACCAGATTGATTGTAAGAAGAAGCTTATGGAAAAGACCATCATGCCAAACTTTATTAAAAACTTTAGAAATGTCAGGAGCAATAGCCTTAACCTTTCCACCAGTATCTAATGCACGATAAAACCTATCAGTTATTATTATTAGCAAATTAGCTATAGAATGAGAAGATCGAAATCCATATTGATGATCAGAAAATAAGTTATTAGATTCAAGATGAGAGATTAAGTGTTTGTTAATTAAAGATTCAAAAACTTTGCATATGATAGGAAGAAGACTAATGGGACAGTACTTAGACGTGTCAGATCGCTCTTCAGAATTTTGAAAAATAGGGATAACAGATGCCGCTTTCCAGCAGGCTGTAAAAAAAGACCCTGATAAGCACTTGTTAAATAGTTTTGAAAGTATAGACGACAGCTCCGAAGAACACTTCTGCAAGACTATAACAGAATGTTGTCCAGACCACAAGCTGTAGAAGAATCTAAGCAGGAAATTACTTTAGATACAGAAGCTGGAGTGATATGAATGTCAAGCAATTGATCAACCTGTTTGATGGCTATATCAGGTAACGCAACTAGTGAAATCAAGAGATGATATTGATGAAAAGTTCTTAGCAAACAACTCAGCTTTGTCTTCCGGTGAGGTGACAAAGTAACCATATAAGAGAGGTGGAATAACAGATTTGCCCTTACTATTATTATCATTAAAGATTCTCCAGAAGTCACAAGAACCTAGTTTTTAAGATAAAATATTAGATTTCATGACCTGAGAATAACGGGTTTTTTATAATGGTTTCTAGCTGTAATAAACAGACGTCTGTTTTTTGAAGAGTTGTTTTTGTTGATTGATACGGAATTAACGGTTTCGGGTAAAAATTGCAGCATAATGTAAGGAAAACCATGGAAAAGAGTGAGATTTGACCTGGAATCGTCGAGCGGAAATAAAAGATTCTTTGCCAGCCTTAATCCGCGAAGTTATGTAAAAAGCACATTTTTCAGCAGGAAAACAAAAGATTTCTACCCAAGGGCCATCACGAAGAAAATCACAAAAAGTGTCCCAGTCAGCTTTAAGGTAATTGTAAGAGGTATGATGATAGGGGGTTTCTGATGATGAAGAAGAATGAGTAAATAATTTTAGAGAGATCAAACCGTGATCAGAAGCACCTAAGGGTGAATGTGGAAAAACCGAGCACTGACTAGGATCAGAAACAAGACATATGTCAAGTGGAAAAGGGTAAAAGATTCAGGTTGTCTGGAAAAGCGAGTTGAAAAGTTGATTATTTGATTTAGAGATTGAGAAAAATAAAATTTGTGGGCTTCATTTCCTGCAGAGTCACTGACACTAGAGTCAAGCCATTCAGTTTAATGAGCATTAAAGTCATCTACAACAACAATATTGGCTGATAGATAAAAAGAAAGAACTTAATCAATTTGGTCAGAAATAATATCAAAAAGAATGCAGTCTTGAGATGAAGGAGAGCGATATAAAACAAAGTGAAATGATAAAAGTATGTGGATTCAAACTTAGCTTCCCGACAAATGGGTGTTTTCTTAGGAATGTAAATGCCCAGGCCAAGCATGTGACTATTGAAGTCTTTAAGAATTAAAGGAAGATAACTATCAACACTGAGATCGCAAGAAGATCATAAGAGACAGCTGAACTTAAAACAGTCTCACAAAGAGCAAGTAGGTCTGGTTAACTTTTCAAGAGATAAGACTCAACAGAAGAAAAGTTATTTCGAAGACCACGGATATTAGTGAATGATAGGTTTAGAGAACTTGGTGATGACAATGGTTTTTTTTGTTTTATAGTTTTTGTTACTTTATTCATTTTTAAATTTGTTAAAGAACTTGTCTTAAAGCATAGATAGTACTCAGTACACTATTTAATAGCCCAAACAATTGCCTCATTACTACTAATTGGCTGGAGTAAAAAGAAGACATAAATTAGCCTTATCAACAAGTTTTATTTTGCCATTGGTTTTATTTTGCTGCGACACCGGCCGTGTTAAAAAAAATTTTCTTAATCTTTTCTAAAATGTTTTGCTCTAATGATATGAATGAAAATAAGAATAAAAAAGTTTATATAAATAGTTATGAACTTTATTAAAGATTTTTTATTTTTTATTTATTTTAATATTGCAATGCTGAGTAAAAAATGTCTTGTCTTAAAAAACTGACCCTGTAATCAATATTTAAGCGGATTTGCAGTGGACCAATATAGGCATTTTTGAGCGGTTAATTGGTGTTTTGCTAATCGGTTACTTGGTGGACCATTAGTGGCAGCCGCTATAAATGGAAAGCCGATAACTTTCCGATATGTTAATAGTGGTTAGTCATTGGCTAGCCACTTTTGGCGGCTGCCACAAATGGTCCACTAAGTAACCAATGAGCCAAACTACAGTGATCCGTTCAAAATGCCTAAATTGGTCGACTGAAATTCTGCTATAGAATGTTTGCTGGGTAGCCTAGGATATCAAATGTTAATTATGAAACAATTTTCTATAGTTAAAATATTTTTTTTTTGAGTAACTTGAGTTTTTAGATAAAAATATTTTCATTACATTATAAATTTTTACATAAAATAATTTATTACAATATTTATACTATATATTTAATTTATAAACTTAAATATGCAAAAAATTGAGTTATTTTTTAAATTATATCTTTTTCTTAATTTATTTTTTCTTTGGTTTTCTCGATGTAACTGCTAAGTCTTTTAGCTTTTTAGGCTTTTTTTCCCCATCAGCCTCTGGGAAGTCGTAAACAGTTTCTTTAGCAACTTTGATATCACCTGTGCTAAACGACTTTTCTAATTTTTTTTTTGCTTTGTTGTTTTTTTGAACTTTTGATTCTTTTGCTTTACCATTTTCTTTACCTAGAAATGCAAATATGTAAATATGCAAAAATGTAAATATGTAAAAATGTAGATATAAGAAATTAAAAGTTATTTCATAATGAGACTAATGTCTTAATGGATAATTACGATAAAAAAAGAGTTTATAACCGCGTTAATGGGAACAAATTTCAATAACGGTAACACTGGTAACGCTGTATTGCCACGGTAACGGTAATAGTTGTATAATGTTATAACTTAAACTACGTTAAGGGACTTATGAAAGAAAGTCATAAGCTGCAAATTATGTAATTTTGAAAACTACTATTAATCATAATTAATTACGCTTTATCAGCATGTAGATTTTTTAATTTTTCTAAGAAATAAAGTTTCTAACAATTACAAAATAATTACGAATTACAAATCTTATATTAATTATTTATCAATTATTATTATTGTTAAATTTTCTTATTTAAACTCGATAAGAGTTATATTGCCGTTAAATAATAGATTTACATACAAAAAATTTAAAATATTCAATCCTCCTTCCGCTCCTCGAGTTACTCAGTTTAGGTTAATTTAGCAGCAGCTGTTGGCTAGTTACAATAAATTGTCTCCTACTAATTTTAATTCGAGATTCAATTTTTAACGTGATGCCCCACCTCAGGATCTCTAAATATGTTGGATGACAATATCAATATTAGAACTAGCAAGTTTGGTCACATGCTTTTCCATTCGATCTTTAAATGAGTTCAGTTTAAATTCTATTAGTAGAGCAGCTGAATGAACATCACGATTGATATCACAAATAATCCGCAAAGCAATATTTTGAATTTTATCAAGCTTAATCAATTGAGTTTGACCTTAATAAGAATATGTAAACCAGTCTTAATAGATCAATTGATAGGTAATGAACAGCTCTTGAGAGAACTCCTAAGAATTTTTTTTTTTTTCCTACATGTGGAGCAAAAATAAGATGCAAATTGAGAGTTAGTCCCAGTAATTTCACAAACTTGACTGGTTTAATTACACAATTCTTTACCACTATAATTTAATCATGCAGTTTCTTTCTAGGACTCTTGAAAATTATAACTTTTATTTTAGACAAATTTATTGTGAGGCCATAAGATATTTTAGTTACTCATAAATTAAGTACACGTATTGGTCACGTGACATACTGATCATGTGAGAAGCACACCTAGTATTTCTATTACTCAGCCTATTTAGATGTAGGAGTCACTTAAATATCATTGTCTGTAAGAGCATTATTACTCTTTTGAATTATCTCCAGTATAAGATTGTTAATTTCTTTAAAAATTAGTTGACGATAAAATGTTGACTTTATAACACTTAAAACGAAAATCAACAAAGTTAAATAGGTATTTAAAAATATAAGTTAACCAATAAGTCGTTATTTTAAATAATGTGTTTTAAATAATGTTAAAATATTAAAAAAAAAAAAATTGAATATGTTAAGATCTACTTTTACATGTTATTTGCAATTATTAGTCTTTAATAATTTCTAATATTACGTATTCCTGCGTTTTACAAAGATATCTTTTATTTTCTTCAACTTTCAATACCATTAAAATAAAGTTTTTTACTTTTGTAAATGGCAAGGGAGGATCCAGGATATTTTAGTATTTAGGTTAAATAACATTTCGGTCAATTCTGAACTCAAACTCTTGTTTGCTTATACTCATTAAGTCATTAAAGGATTTTTCCCAAAAACTTGCGCATATTAGAGCCTGGGAACAAAAATGCTATAAAAAGTACCTATCCAAATCACACACAATTGGTTTTTCCGATAAAATTAATTTCTTTATCAAGGCTGAAATTTATACAAATGTTTGAATTTCCTCAAAAAATATTCAAAAGTTATAACTACTTAAAGATTACAACCCTTAATACGAGGAGGCTGTAAATTTAAATTAGGTATAATTTCTAAACAAAATATAATTTTTATTAAAATTAATATTTTGTTTAGAAATACTAAATATTAAAATTTTAGAACCTTAAAAATGCTTTCACTTAGTTCAGAATATTAAAACTTATTTTTTGAAAAACCAATATCCTCACAGTTAAGCGGTTGTTACCTACTTTTTCGGGTATTTTTGATTCCCAGGCTTTAAACAGAGCAATTTTTAGGAAAACTAATTTTCAATCGATGCAATTTTAAATATAAAAATTTTAAAGATGAAATTAAGTACTTTATTATATATATATATATATATATATATATATATATATATATATATATATATATATATATATATATATATATATATATATATATATTATACTTGAAATATCTATTAATGCAATTTAAAATAAGGTTTAAGCTTACACTTTTAATAATCTTTTTCTATTTCCACATTCTTGGGTTTTGATATCAAGCGATTTAAAAAATAAAAACTTTAAGGGACGGCATATAAATCATTTTTATACCTTTTTCTCTGCAACTTTTTTACTTATAACTTAGGTTTCAATACAATAGAAAAACATTTTTCTGAGGTTTATAACACTATCAATAACTCAAATTTTTAAAAAAGATTGAACAAGAACAAAACGTGGAGATTGAACAAGATAATTCGTCAGATTTTGAAATTGTACCTCATGTGTTAATTAATTTGACGCCAAAATATTTAATTTAGCTTCATTTTTTCGATATTTTGTACATTTGTAAAATTCTCCTCTTTTACGTTTTTTTCCTTGTGTGCTTCCCAGTGGGCATTTCGACGTCGAACGAACGTTGAGCGACGTCGGATCTCGACGTCGGATCGACGTTGGGTTTACGTTGGAAATGGAAATGTTATTTGACGTCGGATAAACTGACATCGCGCGACGTCGGCATTCCGATGTAAATCCAACGTGTTTTTTGAAAACTAAAAAACATTGCCTTTAGCAGTAGTCGAACCTCGGTCTATAAGATACTAAATCCTACGCGCTTACCACTACAACACAGGAACATATTGTTCCATGTGTTTATTTAGTAATTTATACTTGTAGCTATTTGGGAATTATTACTTTGATAAGAAATAATTTTGTTTAAATATTATATAAATATTAAAACGAATAGTTATATATTATAAAAAATGTATACTCGAAATGGTTAATAGTTAAAAAACTATGCTAGTGCATCATACAAAACCTCATGATGTTTTATCAACCATTATTCAAACTTTTTTCCATTAATAAAAAAACACGCTTAGTTCACATAATTATTGAAGAGCGCAATTGCACACATATTGTTGGGTTTGGATTAAATTTTCATCAGCGATGTCTTACGACGTTGTTCCGACGTCGTTTTAAGGACGTTGGATTGACGTCGGAAGACGTCAAAAGATATCGGAGTACGTTAATATTATGACGTTGCCCGACGTCTTTTTATCGACGTAGGATCGATGTCAGTACTGCGACGTTTTTTTGACGTCTTTTATAAGATGTCGAAACAACGTCAAAATACATCGAAACGACGTCAGGGGATGTTGAGATAAAGACATCGCCCGACGTCATTTTACTGACATCGGAACAACGTCGGAATAGGTCTTTTGACATCGCTGATGAAAATCGTACGTAAATCCGACGTCGGATTGACGTCGGGTGCCCACTGGGTTAAGTCAAGTATTTTAATTCTTGTTTTGAAACTTATTTTTCATATTAGAGGTACCCGTTGGCATAACGTTGAACTTTTTAAAGCGCAATCCATGTTTTTTTGATGATGTTAAATAATGTTTTTTAACCAATTATTAAAAAAGCTTTAGTTGTACAATTTGATTATACAATGAAGATTTGTTTACCATACAAGCAAATTCTTTGTCGTGTTCATACTGTTTGTTTTAGTCTACAATTAAACCGTTTGACTTTATAAATTTTACATAAATAATAGTTACATAAATGTTTAATATAAATTTTACATAGTCTCCACTAATTAAAACTTTTATATACCTTATAAATAGTTTCAAATTTAGCATATGTCTATTGCGACGTGTAATTGTTTATTTAAAATTCATGAATGGCATATGCGTCCTATAAATATTTTCTTTACATATTTTAAATATTTACCCATATTATCCTAAGACTTTGTTCAATACAGGGAAATGTCAACTCCACAATTTATTCTTTACATAACTACACTACAACCACTTGTTCCTAAATTTTTATTGCTTAATATAGAATGTCTTAACAAATGTAGTGAACAATCATCACACTTTTAATCAGCTTTTATAAAACATCATCAAAAATATTTTGTTGCATCACAAACGATTTGTCAACTATTGGGCATAAAACTTCAGATTATTATTGGCTGTAATAACAATGAACAGTATAAGATAAAAATCAAATAACTTTAATTAAAGTCAGTAAACTTCGAACGGATATTAAATAAACAAGATATTTTAACACACAATATTTGTTATTTTAAATATAACTTTTAGAGAAAATAGTATATTATTTTGTGATTTTTAGAATGAGTAACTATTCTGAAAATAACCTAAATCATTTTTTAGTTATTATGTTATAAGATTATTTTCTGTTTACTAATAAGCTGTAATAACCCAGTAAAACGGTTCTAAATAATAATTGTTGAATAAATTAAAATCTAATAAATGGTTGTTTTATTACAACAAACCATTTTTTAATAACCTACCATCTCTACTAAACTTCAAAACTTTTGTGTGCAAACCAATCGTAAAATGCCATCAATCAAGAGGATAGGACCAACACAATCTTTTTATAAACAACCCCAACACTTAATTTATTTTATTCTATAAACCTAATAAGGCCGATAGTATCCCACTTAAATTATTTAAACGTTTAATCAATAACTTAATCCATAATAAAGAAGTTGCCAAGGAGTGATTTTAGGTGAAAAAATGTCCTTAAAATTTCATAAAAAGCATATTGAAAGTAAAATCTCATAAAATATTTCCGTGTTACATAACAAAACCTTTTTAAAAAAAAAAATCTTTAAAAAACTATACTTATTACTGTAACATTGCCTGGAGTAGTACTAATCGCACGAAACGAAAAAAAGTTTATAGAAAACAAAAACACGTTTGCAGGATAATATTCGGGGCAAAAAAAATGCATTGCGAACCTCTCTTACTTAAGCTTAAAGGTTTAAATATGTATAAATTTAATATTTGCCATTAATATTATTTATGTTTAAAGTAAAGCGTACACAGCAAAAAACATAACGCTAAAATAACGGTTACATAACGGTAATTGAAAATTTTGGCTTTATGTTCACCGTTATGTTAGCGTTATCTTAAGTTTAAAGCTTTATGCCCAAAACTATTTGTATGATATTTGTAAAGCGTTATGTTTAACCGTTATGTTTACAAAATGGCGCAAATCTAAAGGATTTTTGCAATTAGATTTTTTGTTTATAATGTCTCTACTATTTTGATTTACTTATTTATTTACGTACGGTATTTACCACTTACTAAGTAACTTAGCTATAAAACAGTATTTTGGTTGTTAATTAATATATATTTATTGTATATTTGGTTCTGAAGCCCACAACTGATTGGTATATTTTGATTGCTCACAATAAATGTCATGGCATCTATTGTTAATATATATATATATATATATATATATATATATATATATATATATATATTATATATATATATATATATATATATATATATATATATATATATATATATATATATATATTAAATATATATATATATATCATATGTATAAATATATATATATATATATATATATATATATATATATATATATATATATATATATATGTATATATATATATTAATTATATATATATATATATATATATATATATATATATATGTATATATATATATTAAATATATATATATATATATATATATCATATGTATAATATATATATATATATATATATATATATATATATATATATATATATATATATTATATATATATATATATATATATATATATATATATATATATGTATATATATATTAATTATATATATATATATATATATATATCATATGTATAAATATATATATATATATATATATATATATATATATATATATATATATATATATATATATATATATATATAATTATGATATATATATAATGTCGTTTTGATGGCTGTTTATTTGTTAGATTTAACGTATCCTTGTTTTGGGCAGCTTCTGGGATGTTTCCAAGATATTTGTGGATTTGGGCAATAAGTTTTATTATTTAAAAAATTCATTTTAGTTCTGCAGTCTTTTCATAGCAATGCAAAGTACTTTTGACTTTATTAATGTTAATTTTTACCAAAGTTAATTTGTTTAATTATTTTCTTGGTTATGAAAAATGATTTAATATAAATATATTAAGGTATTAAACTGCATGAATTTTTTTTGTTTAATTAAACTTTTATTATCATAAAAATGTTCAAGGTTAGTTTGAGGAATTATTTGGAAAAATGGAAAAAACATTAAATTTGTTTATGCTGCATTTATACTTCTTCTATTGAAGATGCACACCTAAAAATTTCAAATTTTTAATTCACTGTATATTGTGCCAATTTTCGATCCGTAAATTGACCAATAAGTTCCCTGAAATAGACTAAGTCTTTAATATTTGAAATTATTTTGAAAGAAAAAATTATTTATTGTTAAGTTGAAATTCTGAAGAAATATATTATATGATATTTTTATAATAAATTTTTTCTAGTAATATAATATAAATTAGTGTAGTATTATTAAACTAATTAAATTGTGCCAAATAATGTTGTTTAATAATGTTGTTTAATAATGTTGTTTAATAATGTTGTTTAATACTTGTGTAATAATGGTCTTTACCTCTTACCGTCTGACCTGTCTGTTTATTATTACTGTTTTTAACATTAATTTTGTATTGCAAGTATTAAAAAATGTTAAATATACTATTTGTAAAATTAAAGTAGTATAAACTAATAATAACTGCTTTACTTATTTCTTCAATAGTTAATAGTTGAAATAATAAAGGCTGTTGTTGTCAAATTTCTTGGGGAAAGAAAATTGTTATTGCTTGTAATATTGCTGACATTTTAACTAATGGTAAGCATATTTTGTATTGCAATGGTTCACATTCTTTTTTCTTTTTTTCCATTTAATGTATTAATAATAATTTTTTATTTTATGATTGTGATAATTATTTTTTATTTATAAAATTTTAGTGTGATTCACTACATGAATACTTATGCCAAAATTTATATGGTCCACAAGTTATCTTTAATAAAACAGAATATGATGTAAGGAGTTGAAGAGATATCGAAATGGATGTTCAACCCTTGATCAGTACATTTGTTTACTATTTGCTAGATTTAACATATTCTTGTTTTAAGCGGCTTCTGGGATGTTAGCAAGATATTTGAGACTTTTTGCAATTGGCATTATTATCTAAAAAATGCATTTTTCTTCTGCAATCTTTTCAAAGCAATGCAAATTACTTTTGAATTTATAAATTTTAATAAGTTATTTTATTCAATTATTTTGTAAATAATTTATTCAATTGTTTTGTAAATAATTTATTCAATTATTTTGTAAATAATTTATTCAATTATTTTGTAAATAATTTTCATGATTATTATAAATAGTATAATATAAATATATTATGATATGAAATATATTTTATGTATAATTTTTATTTTCTTATTACAACTTTTATTGACAAAAAAATGTTTTTTTGTTAAGTACTTTGTGCGAATAGTCATGCAGAATATGCGTTTCTTTAAAAAGATAATTTTCATTTTACATAACGGTAACATAACGGGTAATTACCCGTTATGTTAGGTTTTCAACATAACGGTAACATAACGGGTAATTACCCGTTATATAACGGGAGTTTTCCTCGCACATAACGGTAAATTAGCGTCATGTAACCGTTATGTTTAAGGCAATTTTGCTATGACTAAACATAACGCTAAAACCGTTATGTTATTTTCATACATGTTAAGTATTAAACATAACGGCAATTACCCGTTATGTGCGAGGAAAATTCCCGTTATGTTTTTTATAAATATAACGGGTATTTTATTTACTGTGTAGGTTATCTCTAGTAAAATTTCAATCTTTAATAAAGTTTTTAATAAATATCCAGTTTTCCGAGAATAACTTTCCATTTACCTATATTAAGTTACGTTCTTACCGAATTCAATACTTGACCTTTTGTTGGACCAAATTCAATTGCACCAAGTTTTCAATTGTATCAAATTTTCAATTGTACCAAATTTTACCAAATTTTCAATTGTACTAATTTTAATTATCAATTGTACCAAATTTTGTCCCAAATTCAATACTTGACCTTTTGTTTGGCAATATTTTCTTTATATATTTACATATGGTAAAAATATAAAAAAATTTTTTTTTATACGGTATTTACATATGAAACTTTATATATTGGATTTCAAATATATTATTTGAAAAAAATTTGAAAAGTTTGAACATAAATAAATTATTAAAAATTGTTATAACATTTTTTTAACGTTTCTTACTAATAATAATTTGTTTCATTTTTATTTTTTGTTTGTTTCATTTTTACTTTTTGATTGTTTCATTTTTATTTTTTGTTTAATTTTTTGTTTGTTCCATTTTTATTTTTTGTTTGTTTCATTTTTATTTTGTGTTTGTTTCATTTTTATTTTGTGTTTTTTTTTTTTTTTTTTTTTTTTGGTTTTAATAGACGGATAATTTAATGGCTATCTCTGATTAGTCTTCTTTTATTTCTTAAACTATTGAATTGAAATATTGTTTGTAGGATTTATTTTTCTGAAATTTCTAAAGATTTTTGTGCATTTACTTTTTTACTTATTATCTATTACTTACGTCACGAGTTTAGTACTCTGTGTAGTTTTAAAATATTACAGCGTCTGTATGATATTTTGTTGACTACGACATATTTCCATTAAATGATCAGGTCTGCGAATTATAAAAAGACAAAAAAAAAAAAGTAAAAGGGGTCGTCCATAAAATACGTAGGATTTTTTACGCCGACCCTACCCCCTGCATTTTACCATACGCTTTTTTGAATACCCTCTACTCCCTAAAAGTACCAACGCCTTTCACCTACTAAACCCAACATTTTATGAAATTTTTTTTAATTTAGTGTCTCCATCCTTTTATAATTGACTTACTGCCCCCACCCCATCTCATATACGCCATTTGCAGAACCCTTTTTCTTCTCCGAGCGTACGTACTTTATGGACGATCCCAAATGATAAATTTTGCGGTATTATAAGATATAAATATTTATAGCAAAAAAATATTTATAGCAAAAAAACCCAGACCGAAGAATCTCTTTTTTTTAAAAAAAAGTATTCTTAAAATCACAATTGCTTGTCCAAATTTTAATAAGATTTTAAATAAATACTTTTTTTAGGTGAAATGAACATTATAGTTTAACAATATTATCTGTTTTGATCGTTTATTGACAATTTTTTCTTAATTATAAGCTCTTTCTTGGTCGGAATTCTAGTATTTTTTGTGAAAATTGATAGAAATATTATATATTGACACCTATTTATAGTTAATATACGTTAGAATTGATTAGAACTAGGATCAGTAGTAAATTAAGGAACTTTTTCAATAAATTTTAACTAAATTCATGTTCACGCCGATTAGCGGAGTTGATCTAAAGACTCCAAAATGGTTTTCTTTAGATTCACTATTACGGGTAGAAAAGAGGTTTTGAAAATTATATAATAATATATAAAAAAATATATAAAAAAAGAAAAGTTATATAATATATAAAAAATATATAATATAATATATAAAAAATATATAAAAAATATATAAAAAAAGAGAAAATATATAAAAAAAGAAAAAATATATAAAAAAAGAAAAGTTTCTTTAAATAATTAAAAAACCTGAAGCAAAAAAAAAATATATAATTTAAAGCACTTGTTTGAGCATAATAGGCTGATAAAACAATGCTAATTCCAAATAAAAGAATTCGAATAATTTGTAAATCTACATTGAGTAGGTAACAACACCGAGTAGGTAAATTTAACGCCTTAACTACACCGAGTAGGTAAATTTTAAAAACACCGATTCAAAATAGCGAGGTGATAAATAAACTTCTTTTTACTCTTGCCATGATTTTATTATTGTAACTTTTTTTTTTTTTTAAATTTTAGCAAACGGCAAATTTAAAAAAAAAATAGTTACGCTTCAGATATATTTCAAGATCTTAATTTGATTTAATTTATTTTTTGTCCAATTTGAAAGGTTGATAATTTTAACATTAAATTTTTTATGCTAGTTGTATCTAAAAATTTTTAAATCTATAAACATTTTAAATGTAATAAAAAACAAAAATCTTTGAACACTAGAACTCTACTTATTTATATTTATTAGTTAGGAAATTTTAAACGCCAAAACTAATATTTTTAATACAATATTAAAGTTGATTGAAAGAATAAAAATAAAATATAGCAAAATCATTTGCTCAATATATAATCTTTTATGTACTAAAATATAATCTTTTTTGTACAAAAAAGTAGAAATTAAACTTTTTAATCTAAATTTAATACTTCAGTAAATTAAAGATTGACAGGTCTGCACAAGGTTTATATAGAAACATACCTGTCAATCTTTAGTTTACTGAACTATCAAATTTAAATTTAAAATTTTATTTTCTACTTTTTAGTACAAAAAAGATTATATTTTTGAGCAAATGTTTTTGCTATATTTTATTTTCTACATTTTAGTCTTTAGAGAGAGTTACGATATTTAGCAATGCGTTTGTCAAGACATTTGTAATTAAATTGAGCCTTTTATCCTTATTAAAGAAACGGAGTATTTCCTGATTAAAGGAGCAGAATATATATATATATATATATATATATATATATATATATATATATATATATATATTGATATATATATATATATTGATATATATATATATATATACATATATATATATATATATATATATATATATATATATTGATATATATATATATATTGATATATATATATATATATATATATATATATATATATATATATATATTATATATATATATATATATAGATTGATATATATATATATATATATATATATATATATATATATATATATATATATATATATATATTGATATATATATTGATATATATATTGATATATATATATATATATATATATATATATATATATATATATATATATATATATATATATATATATATATATATATAAATATATATATTGATATATATATATATAGTAATATATATATATATATATAAATATATATATTTATATATATATATATATATATTTAGTAATTTACCCTTATAATAAACCCTTAGTTTTTTGTGGTCCAAGGACAACCAAGAAAGTTAAGGAAGAGTTCATATCAAGTGAAAGAAAAGATTATAAAAAGTATAAATTACCTTTAGCCGCACTAACTTTCTCGTTGTCGGTTTTTTGAGATTTGGCCAGCTCCAAATCATCTTTAGATTGCAAAACTTTTTTTGAGGTGTTTTTTTTCTTACTTGTCTTTTGAGGAATTTTAGATTTTTCTGTTTTATTTTCATCATCACTTTCCACTTTATTTTCCAACTTTTCTTTTTTATTGTTATTAACGGATTTATCTTTTTTTACATTACGATCTTTTCCTATTTTTTTTCTGATATCATTTTGTTCTTTTGTCAACTTAAATGATCCATTAGCCCCATTACCTAAAATTATTAAAATTGTATATATATATATATATATATATATATATATATATATATATATATATATATATATATATATATATATATATATATATATATATATATATATATATATATATATATATATATATATATATGGAGAGAGAGAGAGAGCAAGAGAGATAGAGAATATAGGATGTACTGCCCAAAGGACACGGACATAAAAAAGACGTCTTTTGAACGTCTTTTGAACGTTCAAAAGACGTCTTTTTTTGTTCCGGTGCCCACTGAGTGGTTAAGGTCTCTATATACTATATATACACACCCACACATATGAATATAATAATAACAATAATAATAATAATATAAATAGTCTTTAAAACCTGTGGTATTGCTAATTATATTTTTTTCCAGAGCAGATCTCAATGCTTTTGTAACATAAATTGTGCTCACGTCAACTATATTAAATTCTCTCACAATGAAATTCGTAATTTTACTTCTTGAAACACCATTTCTACCTTGGAGCTTTTCAATAGCTTCCAATACCATATCGAAATATGTTTTTGGATTAGCTTGTTTTTTACTTTTACCAGTAAAGCTTGCTATTTGACTTCCAGCATTTATTGGTTTTACGTACGTTACATTAACTTCATTGTCTTTGAAAACTTCGTCAAGATCTGTATTGTTTTTTATTGTTGACATTTAATGTAAAAAAGCAAGCAACTTTATATTAAATTTTTACAATAAACTAATCTTAAAATATATTAATAGTTTTTACAATAAGCCGAACTTAAAATATATTCCTTGAAATATATGATATTGCTCTCAAGAGACATATGACATCACTTGGTCTTTACTAGTTTAGAAAATATATAATAGACTTTAGAAAATAATAGACAGAACAATCATAAACCAAAGTTAAATAGTAAGTTTAATTGATTTAAAAAAAAATATTTACGATGCAAAAAAATGGCAATGTCAATTAGGATAGTTACATCACTATAAAGGACAATATTAATCACTATAAAGGACACTATTCTCGGACAAATTGTTAAATTGTTTTTGTCAGAAAAAAACTTTTTTTTTTTAATTTTATTTTTCTTAATATTTCATAGTAATAAAAAAACTTGCTTTAAAAATTCTTTTAAAAATTTGTAAATAAAAAATATCAATGCACCAGTTAGTTTCTGTTGTAAAGTTTTTTGCAATAACTAAAAAAATTATCTATTTAAAGTGCACTAGATTTAAGAAATTTTTACCTATATTTTTTATGTTTCTCAATTGATTTAAATTACTTCAATATCATATATAGAGACATAATGAAATTTTTTTATTTTAAAACAATGCTATAACAGCAAAGTCTAAAAGGGCAGAAGCTCTTTAAGCTGAGTTGGATTTATTTCAAAAATTTGTTTATTTTTGTTCAATTTTTTCGAGAATTTGATATATAATGGATTACTTCTATCCAAGGTCTGCTTGGAGTTTCGTTTGGAGTTTAAAGAATTGTTTTAAGTTTTGACTTTTCTTTAAGTTTGTGACTAAGATTTATAAGGTAAAGTTCCTCTTTTTTAATATTCTGCTGTGTGAGTTCCTTATTTATTCATAAAAAGTTACCGTCTTACAAAAAGATAATAATTTTAGCCTCTAATTGGCCTAGCCTGCCTTTCGTTGGTAAGGGTACCAAAAGTCACGTGTAATTTCTATGAATTTATCAAACTATTTATTACTTTTTTTTTTTTGCCTTCAATTGGTTATTTATATTCCAAGTTATTTAAACTAACTTATTTCCCCAGTTATTTAAACTCGTTTCCATTTTATTATGTCTTTCTTTAAAGTGAATTTTGGCGGCAGTAGCTTTATAATTAAGCTTAAGCGCTTCGCAAATATTTTCGATGGAGTTGTTTCTGAATAAATTAAAATTGAAATGATCTGCTTTAAAACTTTTTCCTTTTTTTTTATTTCTTTTTAATTAATATTCCTTTGACATCTTGATTTTGTCTAAGATTTTGTGAAAATATTGAAGTCTGTATCATGTTTAATATAATTAATAAAGCCAAGGCCTGCCCTCACTCTTAACCTCATCAATCCTCCTCTTATCCCTTCCCTTTTAAAATATTTATTTTATCTAAAAACTTTGAATTTTAATTTTTGGGATTATTTTGTTGTAAATTATTTTGATATATGACACAAAAACTCTCCAAAACCAAATTGTTCAAGGCTCTTTAATAAAAAATTTCTATCTTTCTTTTTGAATGCAAGTATAGATAGTTCCAGTTTATCTTTCTTAGCTAAAGTAATTATGTCTTTTGAACTATTATTACTTATACGTTGTTTTACATTAATTTTCCAATCTATTGGGTAATTTTTTTTAGAACTTTACAGTCCGCGTTTAATTTTTTGTAGTTTTTATTAGGTGTTCCCAGAAACCCATACGGTCTTATCACAGAGCAGCGCAGGAGAGCATTTAACAAGAAGTTCACGCCTTCTTGCATACCAATGTCGTTTGTTGGGCTAGAGCTGGTCTTGAACTTCGAACCTCTGGGTTTTGAACCAGAACTCTAACCAATGCGCCACGGCTGCTTGTGGCTTTACTTTTCTAATTTTTTTTTTTTGTAAATAAAACTCCAAGTTAAAATATACGTAAAAAATATACAAAAAGTTAGACATCTCAACTGGTGTCTATCAAATGATTAAACAAAAAAAAATCTAATATCTGATCGCTTTTAAAGCGTCTTTTAGATGTCTTTCAATTGTTCAAAATTGCTCAAATTCAAATGGACAATTGATTAATAATCCTAATTTTATTAATCAATTGTCCGAACTTGAATTATCTTTCTAACTGAGCACAAAAATGTCGCTTTTTATATTGCAGGCATTTCATACAAGACGAGATGTATTTTACGTGGCATTAATGGCTACGTAACAAGAAAAGATGATGCAAGTGGCATGAGTGGTTACGTAACAAGAAAAAATGCATGAGTTGCTAAGTTACAAACAAAGATGATGCGAATGGCACAAGTTACAGTAAAAATGCTGGTGTTATACTATCGAAGTTATTTTCAAGTATTTTCTTATATATCACTAAGTCTAAAAAAGCGTCTGCATTGAAGTTTCTAATTTTATTTGTCTGCTTTAATTTTTTTTTAGTCATTATGGTCTTAACACAAAATAGCACTTAACAAAGTAGTTCATGCATCTTTTACCAATGTCGCTCATTTTTCCCTAAAAAATGTTGTTTTTAGGGACAAATGAACTACATTGGAAAAATTTTCATTTTTTCTATAAATTATTTTATTTAAGTTTGCTTATGTTTAATAATGATGTAAAAAATTGTTTTGAGGATTGAGATTGTATATTTATAATTTGTTAAATTAAATAAAAATAGCTATTCTCTATATTTTCTGTACATTTTTGCTCCGAGTCAAAAACAAAAAATTTCTAATATGAAGTTTTGCAGTATTGCTATGATAACATTTTATATTTGAAATATACCAAACCACGTACTAAGATACATGTGATACCACTACAGTGTATATTGTTTTATTTAGAATGTAATTTATTTAAATCAACTTCATTTTAATAAATTTAAAAACCTAGAAAACTTATTTACTTCATTGAATTTCTTAAAGCCTAGTTAGTTTGCCGAAAAATTGACTAAAGTTGTTGATATTTGAGGAACAAATTGACCCATAAATTTAAACAGCATAATAAACTTTTTTTCTTAAACTTCCAGATTAGTAATTATCTTAATAATTACATAAAACAAAAAGAATTTAAAAAAATGCGTGGTAAGAAATATTATTTTTCTATTCTATATGATTTTGTAACTTTTTTTTGCATTGATGTTTTATTTTATATGAATAGTGAACTCAAAACAACCGTAATCTTCGCCATTCTTAGAAAACTTTGCTTTAACTTTGTAAGTTCCCTAAATATTTTTGTTAAAAATAAAAAATTAGAATCTTTCATTATTAATAAATAGAAAAATGTTATATAATAAAACAAATATTTTAAGGGATAAAACATAAAAATTGAATTAAATATTTATGCACGTCAAAAAACTCATTGAATAATTTGAAGAAAAATGCATTAATATATCTTAATAATATATTAACATAATAATAATATATATTAATATATATTAATATAGCTCGATTAAGATTACAAATTGAAAATAAATAAAAATAAGTATAAATATATATATATATTTACTTTGAAAAACGAAGCAACTGATGGAACTTGTAGTGATTTTGTTAATTTAAACACATTGCCAGATAAAAGTTGACATGGAAGGCCTACCTCACTAAACTCAGCGCATGCCAGTTTATATGAGCTAATAAACAAAATAAAAATATTTATAATAGATATAATAGGATGTTAAGTTAAAATTTAAACATAAAAAAATTAAACAGTTGTTATCTTTATATCATTACAATATATCAAACTAATAATACTAAATGTAAAAATAACCGATGATTGATATATATATATATATATATATATATATATATATATATATATATATATATATATATATATATATATATATATATATATATATATATATATATATATATATATATATTAGCCCATCCCATTTTGACCCTTATGAACAAATTTTAATACGCGGAGTGTCGTAAAATATTCCCAAAGTATTGTTTTTTTAGTAAAATTTTTTTATTTTTTTATTTTAGATGACTATTTATACTCGCACCACTTGTTTAAAGTTTAAAATTTTAATTTTTTTTTGAGTTTTTTTGGGCATTTTTAAACAATCGGCGCGAATAGAAGTTTACAAATCATTAACTAAACAATACCGTCATTACAAGTAAAGGAAGGTTTTTATCTATACCGAGCGTGCAAATTTTTATTACTATTATTTTTGTTAACTAGTGGTATTTTAAAAACGCACAAATTCGTTATGAAATTAAAAAATCGTGGTTTTTAAACACGATATCGTTGAGGCCCGATACACAGCAATTAGAAACTTGTTAGATGCTTTTTATTTCATACAGTTCACTCACTTCAAGCCCTGCCTGTTTAAAAGGAGTTTATACAAAGTTAGCTAAGTTTCCTGGCCGACCATTATTCTTGTTAACCTCCTGCCTTAATGTCGGAGACATTATGGCAGGAGGTTAACAAAATAGTGTTAATATAACATTATAGCAGGAGGTTAACAATATAACAATACTTAAGAATAATTTATGTCGTAAAGTAACAAATTGTTTAAAAACAATAGTTTAAAATCAGATGTAAAATACAAAGAAAATAACTCTAAATCAATTTTTTTTCACACAGACTTTTTTTAAATCAGTAGAAATATAACAAAAATAAATTAGAAATAAAAAAAAATAATATAGAAACAAAAAAAAAAATAGCTGTTTGATTTTATTTTGTCAAAAATAAATGTAATAAGTATTTAGCAATGTCATTTTAAACTAGGGCCTTGCAAATCACCTTTTTTGGTATCACATCAAATCACGAATTGAAGCAGACATTAATTCGCAAATCGAATCAAATCTTGAATCAAATCAGCATTTTAAGAATATCAATGTTCTAGTTAAACTTAGATTTCCTCAAAATGCTGATTGGACTCGTGATTCAATTGAATTTGCGAATCAAGGCCTGCTTCGAATCGTGATTTGATTCGAAACTAAAAAAGGTGATTCGAAGGGCCCTATTTTAAACCTTATTTAATCTTCATTGTATTATTTTTAATTTACACTTTTAAGATCAACAAGACTATTGGCAGATGTATATTGGCAGATTATTGGCAGATGTATATTGACAGATGTCTGCTGCAGAGGTGAAATTCAAATCATGGTAAAACCATAGAGGTGTTTGGTGCTGGCGTTGACCGCGTTGATAGAGGTGTTTGGTGCTGGCGTTGAGCATAGTTTAAAAAATTTATTTTAAAAATAAAATACAGAGAAGGATATTTATTTTTTTAAACAAGAAACGTATTTCTTGTTTTAAGAAAAATATTTCGTAATAAAAAATTCAATTTTGCTTTGCTTACAGTAAAATTTATTTAAGATAATGTAGACCGTGTGATGAGCTTGGAAAAGTTTCAGAAGCTACTTCAAATAAAAAGTTTTTCTAAAAAAAATATCAAAAAGAGAAGAAGAGTGGATTCAAGGAGCAAGCTACAGCGACTGCTTCCTCGCTTTCTAGTTTTTGAATGGTTATGATAAATTAAATTTTGATCCAAAATATAATCCCCTTGCCCCAAACGTGAAAGTAACAAGTTGATGAAATAACTTTTTTTCGCTATTCCTAACTAAATTTATATTCATCGATAAATTTTAAGTATTATTTTACAATCTCTAAGCCTTCAAAAATTATGACTATATAAAATTTGTAAACCCTTCAAACTGAACGGGGTTTAAACTTTATATAGTTATAATTTATGAACTCTGAGAGATATTTCAATGAAACTTAAGTTTTATCAATGAATATAATCAAAGTTAAGAATTTCAAAAAAATTTGTTTTATTAACTTGTTGCTCTCACGTTTGGGGCAGGGGGAATGAAATTTTAGGGTTTTTTTAGTTTCCAGCCTCCAATCATCGCAATATTTTGCAAAGCATCATTATTTGATATAAGTATAAAAATATAAATGTTTCGAGTTTGCGACATGTCTCATAGCTATCTCAAACACCAAAAAATGCTGGATCCTTCGCTAATCTGTGGTTCGATGCCTATTCTAGGTGTTTTTCCGACATAAATGAAGCGTAAACTTCCAAGTTAAATGCTCATCTGCGGTAAGCTATATATGTATATATATATATATATATATATATATATATATATATATATATATATATATATATATATATATATATATATATATATATATATATATATATATATATATATATATATATATATATATATATATATATATATATATATATATATATATATATATATATATATATATATATATATATATATATATATATATATATATATATATATATATATATATATATATATATATATATATATATATATATATATATATAAGAGCGATTCTAATAAACTAGCGGCTTTCGACATGTTTTTATGATGGATGTTTTTCCTTGTTATTTTGTTATGGTCATTAATATATATATATATATATATATATATATATATATATATATATATATATATATATATATATATATATATATATATATATATATTATTGTTATTATTGTTGTTGTTATAAACAATAATAACAATAAAAATAATTAAAAAAAAAAAAAAAAAAAAATTGTTTTCTAAACACCAATATGAACGAAGATATGCATCACCAGACAAAAACTTATAAAACAAAAAACCGATCACAAAATAAAAAATATGATAACAACAATAAAAGGCATTTAGTAATGGAAAAAAAACATTAATGCTAATGTGTAAACATAATTTGTGTAGTGATTAAGTAATAAACATCTCCTCAGAGTCGCGTCTATTATTACTGGCGTTTCGATGAGGATCAGCATTTATAACTAGTTTATCCCGTCTGACAAACGTCATCGCCACTTATGCTTTACCCCGCGACTTACGCCTATTCCATACTGCGGTAAAAAAGGATTCACTACAAATAGCCAAAACCCAACCATCCCCAAATTTGTATGTATATATATATATATATATATATATATATATATATATATATATATATATATATATATATATATATATATATATATATATATATATATATATATATATATATATATATTAATGACCATAACAAAAATGACATATGTATAGTTCCAAGTTAAATGCTCATCTGTCGTTCTGTGATGCGACAATTAGGTCTTCTTGGAACTCCTAAAATAACCACAGAAAAAATGTGTATATATATTTTTAAATGACATTGATACGCTTTGATCTAGTTTAGTTTACAACAAAAGATTGAAAACCCTTTACTCAATCTTTCAAGAAAGCCATTTTGAATTTGGATTTGTTTGATCCAAGGCTCCAGTAACAGTATTTAGATAAAAAAAACATCATTTGATAACAAAATGAGACTAAAGTTATAAAGTTTGTTGTATGACTGGAAAAAAGTCTAAAGATCAACAAAAAATCACTTTAGAGTAGCCAAAGTGTTAATTTATTTACCGTATTTAGTAAGATAGGCACAAAATATTTCTTAAATTAATAAGCACAGTGTTTTTTTTGGTACAGTAACACATAGAGAAAACATCGTTGAACAAATTAAGTGGATTTAATATCAAAATCTATTGACGTCAATGCTTGAAAATTGCCCTAAATTTATTAAAAAATCACAAAAAGTAGAACTTCGAACAAAATATCAGTTGACTTTTTAAAAAAAATTTTATAAATTAAATTTAAAAAATTTTTAACCTACTTTTTTTACCTATGTAACAAACAAGACAGGATATTTTGGATTATAGGGGAGACCGGGGCTAGTTGGCCGCAGGGGTAAGTTGACGAATTGCGTTTATCTTTAAAGCCTTTCATCAGAAAGTGATAAAAATTACACAGAATCTTCCTAATTGACTGTTTCATCATTCAATGTAGTATTGTCAGGATTCGCGCATGCGCATGGGAGATATTAAGATTTAAGTGTTTTTTGGACAAAAACGTAACTTTTGAAACATCGCTTCCTTTTTACTTTACAAAGAAAATAGTTAGTCAAATGGAAAAAAAATTATTGTAAAAGTTCTAGCCACAATTGGTTTACTATATTCAGTTTGACTTTTTTTAAAAGTTGCCGTTTTTCAGGATCTATAGACTGTTTATTGAAAAAAAAGCCTTCGGGGTAAGTTGACAAAATTTTTACGGGGTAAGTTGGCTCATAGCATTTACTATGGAGAAAAATATTTATTTTTATAAAAATAATTTTTTTAATTTTTTTAATTTTTAACAATATTGAAAAAACTTATTCTTACAAAAAAATTATAAAAATTTTTTTTTTAGGTTTTTTGTAACAGGTAAAAAGAGGGCTGCTGTTTTGGCTGTTATACGTACTAATATTTAGCACAAGCTAAAAATAATATCAAATTATTAGCTTAAATTGTTGCCAAAATTAATAGGTAAAAAATTTCTATTAATTTTGCACTTATTAGTACATTAATAATCACGTTTATAGTTTGCGTCAACTTACCCCGTGGTGGGGTAAGTTGGCGCAATTTTTTTTTTTTTTTTTGAGGGCCCCGTAAGGCCCCAAGAATTTTTTTTTGTAAATCCATGAAACTTTTATAAGTTACCCAAGTTCATACGCTTTGAGACTACACTTTAATATTTTCAAAAAAGTGTGCTATTAGGGCTACAGAGCTCATAGAGTAAAAACCGAGCCAACTAGCCCCGGTCTCCCCTATATAAATAGAGTTTTGGTGTTTTTTAAAGTAAGTACTAAAGTGCTAAAGTTATTTTATAAATTACTTTTATTTTAACAAACTAAATATTCAAAATAAAATCTTTCCCAGCAAAAACATGACAAATAAAAAGTTCATTTAAGAGAAAATTCACGTCTAAAAAGCATCATTTAGACAAGTATTTGCTGGTTTATAAATAAAATATTTATTTGTTATTCATTTAATAATGTTAAAGGTATATATATATATATATATATATATATATATATATATATATATATATATATATATATATATATATATATATATATACTATATATATATATATATATATATATATATATATATATATATATATATATATATATATATATATATATATATATATATATATATATATATATATATATATATATATATATATATATTAGTTTCTATACTATAATGGAGAGGCCGAAATTAGGTATACAAGCTCTTCTCTTTAAAAAAATTATACCATGGAACCAAATAGCAAAACTTCGTTTCCAACACCAAGTCCAAATCTGGAGTAACATTATCCGCTGCAATAGTAACATTAACAGTTGCATATTTTCCTGCATTTAAAGTTAGCTGGCTGATTTCTTGAATTTGTATCCTATTAGCTAAAGTTAAAAAATAAGAATTTTGTAAAAGAAAAGCCTAATGTGAAGTTATTAGGTTTCAATGCATAATAATTGAAAAATTCAATTGTTTTAATGTGTACTTTTGATTTGATATTACAAAAATCAGCAATTTTTTTTGCGCTGATTTTTGTGATATAAATATAAAAGTACATTAATTAAAAAGACAGAAGCCCATTATTTATTAATAATGTTTTTATATATAAAAATTTTAATGGCGCAAAAGAATTTAATCATATTATTTTAGCAATTAAAAAAGTACATAACTTTATATAACATTAATTAAAAACGTATATAACTTTGTCAGTTTTGTTGTTAAAATATATATATATATATATATAAATATATATATATATATATATATATATATATATATATAAAATTTGTTATTAAAATTACACATTAAAATTATATAAATATATATATATATATATATATATATATATATATATATATATATATATATATATATATATATATATATATATATATATATATATAAAACATATGTATACCCTTGAAAAATAGTTCTATAGAATTTTATATAAACTTTTGAAACATATGGCCTATAGAATTCTATAGAAATTATATAGAGTTTCTGTTAACTTCATTATAAATTCCTATATTTTTTTCTACTTTTTTTTTTTATAGAAAAAAAAGTTTTATAGCAATTTCTATAAAAATTATTAGACATTCTATAGAAATTCTATAAAGTTTCTATAGGCCATATATTTCAAAAGTTTATAGAAAATTCTATAGAACTTTTCTTCCTGGGATATATATATATATATATATATATAGTATAATATATAAAAATAATATATATATATATATATAATATATATATATATACATATATATAATATATATATATATACATATATATAATATATATATATATATACATATATATGTATATATATATATATATATATATATATATATATATATATATATATATATATATATATATATATATATATATATATATATGTATATATACATATATATATATATAGTCATCACCAAGTTCGCTAAACCTATCATTCACTAATATTCGTGGTCTTAGAAGTAACTTTTCTTCTGTTGGTCCTTATCTCTTGCAAAGTTCACCAGACCTACTTGCTCTTTGCGAGACTAACTTGAGCTGTCTTATCTTGTGATCTTAGTGTTGATGCTTATCTTCCTTTAATTCGTAAAGACTCCAATAGTCGCATGCATGACCTAGGCATTTACATTCGTAAGAATTTCCCCATTTGTCGGTAAACTAGGTTTGAATCCACAGGCTACTCTTTTATGTGCTTTCGTTTAGCACCACTTCACTCTATCATCTTTCTTTTTGTTCTATATCGCTCTCCTTCATCTCAAGACTACACTCTTCTTGATGTTAATTCTGATCATATTGACCAAGGCCTCTCTCTTTATCCATCAGCCAATATTGTTGTTGTTGGTAGATATAATCATTACACTGAATGGCTTGACTTTAGTGTCAGTGACTCTGCAGGCATTAAAACCCACAACTTTTGCCTTTCTCAATCCCTAACTCAAATAGTCAACTTTTCAACTTGTTTTCCAGACAACCCGAATCATTTACCTTCTCTACTCGACTTGTGTCTTGTTCCTGATCCTAGACAGTGCTCAGTTTCTCCACATTTACCCTTAGGTGCCTTTGATCACAGTTTGATCTCTCTAAAAATATTATCTTATTCTTCTTTATCATCAGACTCCCCCTATTACCGCACATCTTACAACTACCTTAAAGTTGACTGGGAATCTTTCCATGATTTTCTTCCTGATGGCCCTTGGGTAGAAATCTTTCGTCTTCCTGTTGACAAATGTGCTTCTAACATAACTTCGTGGATTCAAGCTGGCATAGAATCCTATATTACCTCTCGACGATTCCAGGTCAAGCCTCACTCTTCTCCATGGTTTTTTTTACATTGTGCTGCTACAGTTTCCAATCGAAACCATTACTTCCATATCTATCAGCAAAACAATTTTCCAGAAAACAGACGTCTGTTTGTTACTGGTAGGTACCATTGTAAAAAGGTTTTATCTAAGGCCGAAGCCCGCTATTCTCATATCATGAAATCTCGTATTTCATCTTAAAAATTAGGCTTTTGTGGAGAATCTTTTATAGTATCAATAATAAGGACAAGCCTGTAATTCCACCTCTTATATAGTTCTTTTCCACCTCTTATATAGTTCTCTTGTATAGTTCAGACTTTGTCACCTCACCTTAAGACAAAGCTGAATTGTTTGCTAAGAACTTTTAACCAATATCATCTCTTAATTCCACTAGTTGCGCTCTCCCTAACATAGCCGTTAAATAGGTTGATCCATTGCTTGACATCCGTATCACTCCAGCTAAAGTGGTTTCCTACTTAGACTCTTCTACAGCTTGTGGCCCGGACAACATATCTGTTATAGTCTTGCAGAAGTGTTTTCCGGTGCTGTCGTCTATCCTTTCAAAACTATTCAATAAGTGCTTATCAGAGTCTTGTTTTCCAGACTTTCCAGGAAAGCAGCATCTGTTATCCCTATTTTTAAAAATTCTGGAGAGGAATCTGATTCGTCGAACTACCGTCCCATTAGTCTTTTTCCTATCATAAGCAAAGTTTTTGAATCTTTAATTAACAAACACTTAATCTCTCAACTTGAATCTAATAACTTATTTTCTGATCATCAATATGGATTTCAATCTTCTCATTCTACGGCTGATTTGCTAACAGTAATAACCGATAGGTTTTATCGCGCATTAGATAAAGGTGGAGAGGTTAATGCCATCGCTTTTGACATTTCTAAAGCGTTTGATAAAGTTTGGCATGCTGGTCTCCTCCATAAGCTTTCTTCTTACGGTGTATCTAAAAACTTCTTTAAGATTATTGAATCCTTCCTTTCCAATTGCAGTATAAAAGTTGTCCTTGATAGATAGCACTCTTCTTCTTATTCTATAACAACAGGTGTTTCTTAACGTTCAATCCTTGGCCCTATACTCTTTTTAATTCACATTAACGATCTTCCAGATATTCTCACATCTAAGGTGGCATTGTTTGCTGATGATACGACCATTTATTCTTGTCACGATAAAAAGCCAACTCCCTCTGATTGCTTGCAGGGGGCATTTGAACTTGAAAAGGATTTCACTTTTGCAGCATGGGGCTCACAGTGGCTGATGAACTTTAATTCAAATAATCAACTTTTTTCAGCCAATCATTATCGCAATAATTTAGACCTTCCTATATTTATGAACGGAAATTTACTCAATGAGTCATCTACCCTTCGTCTTCTAGGATTAACTCTTACTTCTGATCTTTCTTGGAAATCATATATCAAGTCCGTTGCAAAATTAGCATCTGCTAAAGTTGCATCTCTTTATCGAGCTCGATACTTTCTTACTCCTAATTCTATTCTCTATCTCTATAAATCTTAAATCGGGCTTTGCATGGAATACTGTTGCCATATCAGGAGCGGATCTTCTAATGATGCCCTTTCCCTTTTAGACAAGTAGCAGAAACGCATTGTAAATATAGTTGGACCTGCTCTTGCAGTCAACCTTCAACCTTTGTCACATCGTCGTAATGCTGTTTCTCTTTCTCTTTTCTACAAAACTATAATGGGCACTGTTCTAAAGAGCTAGCGTCTCTTGTGCCATTTACTAAAATTCATTCTCGTGTGTCTCACTGGTTACACCACCAGTTACCATTTTTCAAAGAATTAAAATATATCTTTTATTTTTTATAATAGATTTAATCTATTATAAAAAATAAAAGATATATTTGAATTCTTTAAAAAATAGTAATTATTAATAGATTGAAATATTTAAACGAATAGAGTTTTAATAGGGTATGTTTTTATTATGCCCAATTGCAGATTGTTTCCATTTTTTTTCAAAAACATTTTTTTGAGGTTGTTTTGTTCTTGTTGTTATTTTCATTTTTGTTTCACCGATTCATTTTTGTTCACACTCGCATTCTATTAGGTATACTCCGGGATAGTTATTTGATGACAGTTTTGTTTTGTTGCGTGAAGTTAGCAATAATTTAAGATTTGCACTAGATTAAATACTGCCCTGTAACCTGCTTTCCTAAAGATTTTTCAAAGTTTTGATGATAATTTCGGGATTCACGGTAGTGATATAGTTGGCATGGTTGCTTCGTTGTTAGATAAAACTATTTCATTGTTAGAGTGTCGTTTTTTTATAACAATATTTGCACAATTTTGTAATTTTTTCTTTTCGTATCCATTTTCAGCAAATACATTTATTGGGAAATCGATTTCTTTATTTAAAAACTTTTCAAAGCAAATTGTTAAAGCTCTATGAATAAATCCTTTAATATTCCTTCTAAGATTTTTGGATCGTGATATGAAATGGGCTTAATCTGAATATTTGTTATTGCTTTTTTTGTTATGTTTCGTTTTTTTCGTTTTTTTTTTTGGTAAAATTATAATTACCTTTTTGATTGTTGGTTATTTGGATGTCTAAGATCATCTACGTACCTCAAAAACAATTTTATTTCTAACGGTGGATTAGATTCACAGCATATGGAGTTTATTATATATTTAAGAATTTCCTGTTTTGTCTTTTTCCAGTCTCATTTATTTAAGAGTTTTTTGTCTTGTCTGTTTCCTATTAGAATTCAAATCATTTTTGAGGTACGTAGATCATAGCCACGCAAGGTTTACAAATAAAGATAATGCCATCCGTTTTCAACAAATATTAAACAATCAATATCATGCCATTAGATGAAAACAAACGATTAAATTTTTTAGACATCCAAATAACCAATAATCAAAAAAATAATTATAATTTTAACGTTCATCAAAAAAAAAAGCAATAGCAAATATTCAGGTTAAAGTGCTCCTTGATATTTTACCTTCAATATATTTTATATAATCTCTCCATGTTACATTTTTGTCAAGGAGTACGCCTAAAAAATTTGATGAAACTTTTCTTTTTATTTTGTAATTGTTAATACAAAGATTTGGAAGTTTTAATGGAATTTTGTCTTGTTCAAGATAGCGATGGAAATTTTTTTTTTTGTTTTAGTTAAATTTAGAGATAATTTGTTTGGTTTAAACCATTCAGCAATGTATAGTAGTTTTGTGTTTACAGTTTTAAATAACATTTTTATATCATTGTGAGCATAAAATAGATTAGTATTATCTGCAAACAAGATTGTGTCTAATGCATTACAAGATTTGCTTAGACCTTTAATATATACTAAAAATAAGAGCGGGCCTAATACAGATACTTCTGGTACTCCACAAGATATATTCATGTTATTAGTTTTTCCGTAATTATGAGAAATATATTGCTACCTATTTGACTTGCTGCTTTTAAACCATTTAAAGTTCGAGTGTTAAATACATTAAGTAAAGTTTTTTAATTTGGTTAATAAAATATAATGATTTACAGTGTCAAAAGCCTTGCAAAAGATTTAAGAATATCATTAACAAGATGAACAATTGCCTGATCAGTAGAGTGACCTTTTTTGAATTCAAATTGTTTATTATAAAGAATCTTAATAATATCTAAGAAATAGTACAGTCTTTTATACATGATATATTCTAATATTTTTGAGAAGCATGGTAGTATTGAAATAGGTCTATTATTTGCGATACAAGTTGCATCACCAGATTTTAGAACTGGTATCAGCCTTGCAACTTTTAGTTTATCAGGAAAGATTCCTTGATCTAAAGAAAGACTGAAAATGTACAAAAGCAAAGTTTTTAAACAAAATAATGATTTAATTATCGGAGTGTCTATTCGCACGTTTTTCACGTGCGAATAGACTATATTAAATTATAGTCTATTCGTACGTTTAATTAAAAAAAGGTAAAGATAATCAAATTTAAAGGGAATTTTAAAAAATTAGATTTATTATTATTGGTTTTTGAATTTAAAATTAAACTAGCATAGTGGAGTACTAACGCAGTACTTACGTTGACCGACTTTTGAAGGATTTGCGCACCGTAGTGTATATACATATTGCCTGCTTATCTAGGGATAGGCACACTGTAATATAAATTCAATGACGATGGTTTTAGCTTGGGCAGGCAGTCTTTTAATCAAAAAAAGAAGTATTTCCAATATTTATTATATCTATTGGCACGCTTTTTTTTTTTTTTTTTAATAAAACTTTAACTATGTTCAGTAATTTTATTTATTTTTATTATAATTGATTCAAAATTCATATTAAAAACTTGAATTTTTATTTAAACGTGCAAATAGACTATAATAAGAAATAGTCTATTCACACGTGCGTGCGAATAAACTCACCCTTTAATTATTATATTGCTACTTACATCATCAACTCCATTACCTTTATTTGATTTTAATAAATCTACAGCATCAAGTAGTTCTTTTTAAGATAAGTTACTATTTCCCTTAAGATTATTATTAGAGGTTAAATGTGATTCGAAAGTAGTTTTACTGCTTTTTTATTTTTGAGGCCAAATTTGGGCCTGTATTAACAAACGCATGATTGATGGAATTAGAGATTATAGAATCATCTGTTATTTCACGATTATTTATAATGATAATTTTGGGAAATCCATTAGTGCTTATGCTTTTTTTACCTATCACCTCTTGCAATATGCACCACATTTTTTGTACATCATTTCTGCAGTTAAGTAATTTAGTATAATACTGCTTTTTTGAATACTTTTTAATAACTGTTTTGAAGAGCCATTTGCAAATTTTATTTTTTGTTTCTTTTTCAGTTGTTTTTTTTTCAACACTTTTCGTATAAGTGTTGTTTATTTTTGATAACTTTATTATTGCCGTTGTTATCCAAGGACTTTGCTGGGGTTTGGTTTTGATAAACTTACTAATAATTGGAAAAGCTTCATTTAGTGGCTTTGAAATATGCTATGAAAGTTTCCTCTGCATTTTTAATTTTTAAAATAATTTCCCAATATGTTGTGGATAACAAAAAATATCAATCAATGATATCAATGAATGTTCAGCTTCTTATGGAACTAATAACTTCATGCCAATCATTAGCCATTAAATATAATATAAGAAACAAAAATTTTTTTAAAAATTCAAAGTGAAAGTGGAGTGTGCTTCGTCGTCAAAACAAAACATAATAAGTGAGGAAAAAAAAAAAAGAAAAAAGATAAACCTAACCTTTTAAATAAGATAACGCCTGCTTCATCACTCGTATCGTATTTTTATAGTAAAAATTTTCTTTTATGTTTACACTTAGATACCAATTTTTTTTTAATTAATTAAATTCTAGTGTTATAAAGTATTAATGCAGAAAAAAAAAATTCTTTTTATTTATAAAAATGTTTTTTTACTAACCTGCACTGCATGTTTTCAAATTTTGAGCATGAACATGGAACACTAAAAGGAAAACTAGAAAGAGAACAAACATTTTGTTTAAAATTACAAAACTTGAAACTTGAAGCGAAAACTATGCAACTGGAATTAAAATTTATAGGAGTTTTTATTTTCTTTGTTTCCATGGCTATTTTTTTAGTTTAAACATTAACACATAGTAGCAAGTATTTTTAAATAAAAAGCACATTTATCTTTTAATTTGAACCTATGCATAACATATTTTACTTTGAATAGAAGCATTTTACAACGTCGCGGTAATTCTTGAAAGATTTGGGCGTTGTATTTGTAGTCTAGAAAAATATTCTATTTTTATCTTTTTGGTTTGCACTTTAAAAATCCCGGAATAAAACAATTATATTTTTATGCTTTAGTTTTTAAAGAAATATTCGCGGTGATATATTTTTAGTGATAACTGTATAGTAGTTTTATTGTACAATTATTATAATCTTCGATATTTAAATAGGAAAGACCGAATAATAAGTAAAATGTTTTGAGTACAATTTCTTCAAGTTTTAATATGCCTTTAAGACATCGTTAAATTTTCATATTTTTTCTAAAAAGAATATGGAATTAAAAGAAAATTTTATCTTGAAATGTTTCTTTATAAAAGCAGCTTTTATAAAGACACATTTATAAAGAAAATTTTATCTTGAAATGTTTCTTTATAAAAGCAGCTTTTATAAAGACAACCACATAAAAATAAGAGTAATAGCGTCTACTTATCTCACTTAAAAAAAATTGCACTGAATGAAGCCTCAAAACAAAAGTATCAATACACTTGTGCCATTCTAAATGCAAGGGCGATGAGTGCCACTCTAAATGTGAGGGTAATGAGTTACTGAACCTATTTATTTTTACTATTCTTAACGAAAAATTTAGCGAAAGACTTTAAACTTTATTGTATTTTAATGATCGAAAGTTACAACAATGTAAAGTTAACAATTCTATCATGTTGGGTCTTTACGCATAGCCAAGTAGCAATGTTTATGTAGTCCAATTATAGCTATGGATTTTGTCCTGCAGCCATAACCGGATCAATAATAACTTTTTCTCATAAGATATTCTGCAAAATTTAGGTCAAATAAACGCCACACGTTTATGACGGGCAAGTTCAATAGATTTAATATAGCAGACCCAATAAAAGTTTACAAATAGAAATTTATATTATTTAAATTTAATGCTGCAGGACAATCTCCATAGCTATAATTGGACTGCATAACTGGAGTATAATACTGGACTACATAATTGTACTGTATACTGGACTATATACTATTTAAACAGGACTATATAATTGGACTATATACTAGAGTAACTCTTGGAGCTTTAAGAGGAGCTCCAGCTCCTGCACTTTCATTTTAAAAACGATTGTTGAAGATAATATGGTGTAAAATATGTAATCTGTGTGCAAAAGAAAAAAGGGAGATGAGTCATGAAGTGTCACATTTTTTAAGGGAACATTTTGTTCAGTAAAACCAGTTTTATACTTTAACTTTTAAAAATACTTAATTGCTTTATAAAAAACTTAATATTTATTCAATGTGAATAGATTTAACACTAAAAGATGCAAAATTTAATTTTAAACAATGTTTCTTCTATGACATTTTCTTGTAAGACCTATATCTAAAAAGTTAGATAAAGAAAACAAAAAACAAAAAAACTTTTTTTCCAATAATTGCTCATTTAATACCTATTTGGTTGTTTTTCGGATAATTATTTAAATATGATCAAGAAAAAATAACTACATTTTAAATCAATGGTTTAAACCCTCAGAACAACTTTCTTTTGGAAAACTTTAAAGCAAATGCTTGAAAAATTTCTTTAATTTAAAGACTATATGAAGGAATTTGTTCAGAGAGATGTTAGTGTAGAACTATTCAATCTGTGGCCAAATTATTCCCATATCTGTCATTAGAATTAAAACAAAGTTCAACAGTTACATTGAAAATTATTAATAATTTTGTAAACTATGATTTTGTAAATAAAAAGAAAAGAGGTCAAAAATATGAAACAGATACAACAGGATTTATATAAGAAGCGAATCGATTTATTGATGCATATCAAAAAAAACTACAAGAAACTAGTAGATATTGATAAGATTTTTATATTAAAAAATAACAGATGAAGATTGAAAGTTTTATGAGGTGAGTTTGACACCAAATCATTAAACCTAGATTTAAGCAAATACTTAATTCAAATTTAAAATTTAACATCCTGTAGGTTAGGATAAAAAAATTTAATTTTCGTGATCAAAAAACGAACAAGCATGGCTACTGCACTTCTAAGCTAGTTCCGATAACACCTTCTGAAACCAAGCTCCAAAAAAGAATTATTCAAGAAAGTCTTAAAAATTAATGCTTAATTAAACACTGAGATATTTTCATACCAATTTTTTATAAAAAAACTATTTATCTTACATAAATTACTAAAAATCTTTTTTTCAGGTATCAAATAAGCAATAGAGCTGGTGCAAAGATTGTTTCTGCAATACTGGTTAATTTTTACAGTTATAACCAAAATAAAGACAAAATTCACCATGTCATTGAAAAGTAAGTAATTCTATAATACAAATTACAAATAAATACCTATCTATAATTATTTAGTTATAATTATTATAATTATATTTGCTTTAACACAACAATATCTTTTAGAAAAAAATTTAAAGAAAAAGGAAAATTGCCAGCAGAAGCACAAAAATAAGAAAATATCCTGTTAAAAAAGTCACAGGCCTAGGCTTTGATGACAGGAGATATACAACCATTGTTAATTATGAAACATTTTTATGAAAATTAATGGAAATACCGAAGGGTCACCCTCTAAAATAAGTTAGAAAATTCTACCGTAGCGTAGGATATATGATATACGTTTAGTAAAGTATAATTCTACCTTCTAAGGTAGAAAATTGTATTCAATTGGTCATACAATTTTATAACTTAAAGGTACAATTTTTTACCTTAGAAGGTAGAAAACCATAGCTTACTAATGGTATACCACATATGTGCTCAAAAGCAATAAAGACAGATTTTTCTACCTTAGGGTATCCTACCCTAAGGTAGAAAAATCTACCTTTTTTGTTGGGGTAACAGGGATATAATTATAGAGATCATAGAAAATGATTTAGCCTTTAAAAAAATTGGGTCAATGAACTATTCTTGAACCCAGTGACGTAGAAAGGTTTTTAAATGATTAAAATAACAAAATTTTAAACAAAAAGAATATTTCAAACTTTTTTACATTTATATGTATGACAAAAAGATTCTTCACAAAAAAAATTACTGTGACAGAAGAATGGGAACAAGAAACCTTAAAATCTTAGCCCCCTACCCTAAAAGTGAAGGCAATGAGTTGAATTATTGTCAATGAGTGAAGGCAATAAGTCAAATAGTTGAAGTCAACACATTGCCCTCAAGATCTTATTTAAAACTCAGTTCATTTCAAATTCAATACCGTGAACCATTTATATGATAAAGTTTTTTAAAAAATCTTATTCAAAATAAAACTCCTTTCAACTTCTCCCTAGAACAATTCAAAAAAAATCTAAAAGTTTTCTATTTGAAAAAAAACATTGATTTTAAAAATTTCTTTTAAAATTAGTACCTAAAATAATAAAACTGAAAAAAAAAGTCATCACTATTCACTTATTTTTGTCTTGATTTGTTTCTTATTTACTTTACATAAAAATGAATAACAAATAACTAAAAAAAAATACATATATAGATCTTATTATACACTTTACTAATAGTAATACATTGTGTTGTACTTTATAACTTTCAACTTGTAAGTTATTAACTTTTAATTTTTAAACTGAATCCAACGATGTAAACGGTACTCAGCAATAAGACTATTGTCTTTCTTCTTCTTGCTTAGGCCATTTATTATAAATCTTTCTTTTATATCTACGATCTTTCTTTTTGTAAGTTTTATTAAACGGCAAAAAAAAAAAGAAAAAAAAAAGGTTGTAAAGAATTGCTTCAAACAGTCCTGTTTTTTTCTTTGAAAGAGCCGGATCGGCGTTACGAACTTTTTTTAATTCTACTATATAATGGCTTTCGTTCATTTAAAAATGTTTTTAATTCAAAAAATCGCGATTTGACAGTACTTTCATTTTAGAAAAATGCAAATCTGGGTTGTAAAAGTTATTAAGTATAAAACATTATTTGTCGTTTCAAAAAACTGTTGCGAATGACTAAAAAACAAATATTATTTTATTTTTTATTAATAAAAAATAAGATCAATAATATTTTTATAAAAATATTATTAAACAAATCAAACCAAAATTAAAAATGAAAAAATCACCAGCTTCTTTTTGGCTGGCTCTCTGTTGAAGAAACAAGAATTAACAGAAGGCATTGCAAGTGGCTTTGATTTCGATAAAAGAAGCTTGGCTGTAATGCCTGGCAAAATCTAGGAAATTTTGGCGTAGAAAAATATTTAAAAAATGGACTAAGAAATATTTGAGTGTGTCGAAGATAGAAAGCAGCAGCTAAGTTTGCCGCGGAGGAAAAATTTTTTCACAAAGAATCTGCTGGACATTCAGATGCATTAAAAATGATTGCAGTTGTTAAAAAAGAGACTTTTAACGACAATATTTCAAAGATTTTAGCGCATAAGAAAATTGTAACAGCAATCATTTTTCGAAATTCAATAAAAAGTCAGTTCTTTAATAATTTTGAAAAAGTTGGTCTACAAGAAATTAACAGAGTTGAAATGAATTGCCTGAGTCCTCATTTTACCAATGCATGAACTATTAATGTCAATTATATAAGGGGCCATCCATATATTATGTAGGCAAAAATCTCCAGATTTAGACTGTTGTACATTTTTGTACCCACTGTTATACATTTTTTTTTACCCCCTCCTTCCACATGCGTAAATATGCTTGGTTGTCTTACCCCTTCCCATCCCATCCCCAACATTGCTATTAGAATGTGTATAGACAAAATTAATGCCGAAAATAATTCTGAGAAATAAAACCCTAAACTTGAAGAATTTATAATAATCTCATTAATATATGTTCATTACAAGTATTACAGAACAGAACTTAAGTTGGAACAACTTGCACAACTTGCATGGATTTTCTTTTTGCGCTGTTCAATCTTAACAGGCCATGAATGTGAGTGGCGTTCACCTTTAATAAATGGGCAAATGAACGTGAACTGCTACCTCAATGGCTACCAATAGATCTATGTACGTTTGCGTACATAAATTTGTTAAACACCCCCTCCCCCATACACACGTACACAAATTACTCAACTTGGGACCCTTCCCTTCCTCTTCGGGGCGTACGTTATACATGGATGACCCGTAGGTTACAAACGATGAAAAAATGTTGCAGAAGTTGCAAAACTAATGAGTAAATTTTCAGTAATAACTGATAAGTCAACTGATGAGTCGACCACTATAAACTAAAATTGAAACTGACGTTTATATTCGCACCTGTGTAAAAGGTAGTAGAATGAATTCACCAATCAATCTATTTATGGGTTTATATTTGGTAAAGATTGATAGCGTTACGGCTTATGAAGTAAGTTTACTTGAATGTCTTTATTCTTATTGGTATGAGAAAAGAATATTTAAATAGTTATTTAGTTTATGTAGTATGTTATGTGATGGTGCAGCAGTGGTGTAAGGTTGATGTAACATGTTATGAGGTGATGCAACAGTGGTGTAAGGTTGATGTAACATATGGGATGATGCAACGGTAATGTTGGGAGGCAAAAGTGACATTAGCAACTCACTGAGAAATTTTCCTCTTTTAGAGTTTGGCATTGCATATATTTATTTTTTGTTTGGAATGCCAACCATAGATTGGAATTATCACAAGACAATATTGTTTAGGAGATTTCAGCAATAAATTGGTTATGATAATTTCTTATTAAGCGTTTATCGGGCTTTTCCAAAAAATAGTAGGAGAGTTAAATTTTTAGAGAGTTAAATTTTTGTGTGGAATTATTTGACGATGAGCTGTTGAAAATCTGTTGAATGTTTGTTGAAGTACACGATGGATTTTATCTTTTTTTTGTTCAGTTTACGTGGTATGAGAAAATTATAAAGCACTCGTGAATCATTTTGAAGAAGCATTAGTTAATCTTACAAAGGCAAAAAAAATAATATACGCACTTACGAAGGTTTTAAACAGAAAATTACACCCACAGAATTTTTAAAGGATTAAGTGTTATTGGAGTAGAGTTTGAACCTCCAGGACAAGACATTATTAATCTATACATTCAAAGTCGAAAAATAAAAGCACTTACACAATTATTCAAAGTTAGACAAATTGTTGGTCCTTTTTGCAGGAAACAAATACACTGGAAAAGAAAAAACTTCATATATACAAGCAAAAAAATATTCAAACACTGCCGAATTTTTATGAAGTTATTATTAATAAACACCAAATATATTAAACCGCGCCAATATTTTTTTGTGCCAGCTGTACACATAATAAACTAAAAGAAAAATGTGTTTTTAAATAAAAAAAATAATTTAAAACAAAACGTTCATTTTCAATGAAATTAACAACCATGGAAACAATAACATAAAAAAGTTATATAAACTTTGACTTTTTTTTATTTTTTGAAGAAATTTTACTTGTTTTAAATCTTTTAATTTTAAGAAAATATGCTAGTTATCTTTTTTGTTTTTCTTTTGGTGTCGCAAGTTTATACTCAAAACTTGAGAGCATGCAGTAGAGGTTAGTAACAAAAGTTTATTTTACATCATATACGCCATACACCGTATTTACACATAAATATTAAAAATATATTGGTTTTAATACAAATGTAAAACTGTTTATAAGTAAAAAAACAGCTGATATGAAATCCTCTAATGCTGGGTGAATCAACAACAGAAATAAAATTCAAGTCTCTTTTGCTCTGCATATGTAAGGACGTCATAAGGGCGTCATAAAGACGCCATAAAGACGTCATAAGGACATCATAAGGACGTCATAAGGACGTCATAAGGACGTCATTAATTTTTAATCAAAATAGCCTACAAAGAGTTTTTAAATCAAAAAAAAAAGTCGAATAAGTTGTCTATAAATAAAATTAAAACTAAATGAAAATTTTTTTTTTATATACGGAAATCTTAAACAGAGGTGATTTTAGGCTTGGCGGTTGGGACAACCACTAACCCTTTATTTTTAATGCTAAGCTCAGTAAACAAAAAAATTAAACTAGACCATACTTTATCCAAAAATGAAATCGACAACATTTTTGCGATTCCAAACATGTGACTTTACTATACAAAAAGCATTCCAATAAACTTCCTAATTATTGTATTGGCTAATTTAACATACATGCAATTTGAAACCAATCAATAAAGTTTTTAGATGTGAATGTTGATAATAATGTTATCTGCATAGATAACTTGTAGATAAGATAACATTTATGTACGATAGAAGATTAATTTTCAAAAAATATTGACATTAAAGTAGAAAGGTCAAATACATAAAATTATTTAAAAATTTCAAGTTTAGGTCGTTTAATACATTTAAAAAATTAGTTCAAAAACCAATACTTACATAAATAAATAAAGTTTCAGTTAAACATTCCGTTTATTATGGCGTATCATGTTACAACTAAAAATCCGGACAAACTTTGAAAATGAATATCTCTTGAACAGTTATCAATTTTAACAAAAATTCGTATTTTACAAAATAAAATAAAAAGTTATTTGTTTATCAGTTCATTTCGCCGAACACAGCCAACTCATCGCGACGCACTGTGACTCAAAACAACAAAAAATGGCAATAAACCCCTCACCACTTTTTTTATAAATTAAGTGCCCTTTGTTAGATAATATTAAAAGACAATGGTTTTTTATTTCAAAAGTAAAAATAATTTTTTCATAAAGCTTTTATTTTGTATTTTATAGGTAAAAGAAGTGAAAAAATTTGATATTATTTTTATAGAAATCTGAAAAATGTGAGGTTTATTCAACTAAATAAGAGAACTTGAAATTTAAATAAAAGTGTATATTTATTTTTAAAATAATATTTTGACTCTGTATATTTCAAATATACTAAAAAGAAAAAAAAAGGTCTGATTTTTTCGTTTAAATTTAAAGACTTCTCTAAAAAAAAGTAGAAAATAATTGTATTTTTTTTGTTTACATATCAGCTAAAAGAATGTGTCACCGAGTTCCACAAATATATATATATTTTCCAGTTAATTAACATTTCTACTATAGGCAGGGCCGCCGAGAGCTGTCACGCCGCCTGGGACTGCGGTATTGGAAGTTATTAAAGAAAAACAAATGTTGATGATTTTAAAAAAACCTTGTTTTCCACCATTTTGATAAGAACTTTATTATATGAAATTGGCGGGAAACTTAAAGTTAAGTTTCTTGCTTGTAGAACTTGTTCTAATATAGTTTTTAAATCATAAATATTAAATATAGTTTTAAAAAACGTGCTTGTTATTATTAACGCTTTATACTATTAACGCTTATTATATACTATTAACGCTTTTGTTATTATATACTATTTAAAAGTTTGTTAAAATATTTATTGACAATTTTAAAGAACGATTTATTATTCGATAAGTACAACATGTTTGAAAAAGCTTAATTGAACAACTTTGGTATTTCCCGTTTCAAGAAATACCAAATTGTTACATCCTGTAATAACACATATTACTTAGTTAACTTTATATTACATGTAATATAAAGTTAACTTAGTTAACTTTATATTACATGTAATATAAAGTTAACTAAGTAATATGTGTTATTACAGGATGTACCAATGTGAAAATTGTTAAAAATCATAACAAGATAAAATTTGAAACAGTGTAAAGTAAAAAAATATGTAATGTAATTTAAAATGTGTCTAATATATTAGTTTTATTATATTGATGGTTCTTAAAAACGATAACAATGAAAAGATTAGATCTTATCCCAAACATACGTGAATTAGGAGTTGATAAATTAAAATTATGGAAGGATTTACTTAATCAAATAAAAATACTGAAAAAATTCGCAAAGAAAACTTAAATAAAGTTAAGCTTGCTTTAGTTATATTTATTTCAAAGGTGAAGAAAAAACTAAAAACTATGATACATTTATACAAAAAGAAAATCGTTGGCTTCAAAGAAATCTTATGAACAATAAAAATAGCCATTTTGGTTCTGGAAGGCCCCATAAACAATAAAGTGTTCTTGGAGAGAGAAGCAAAAGAAAAAAAATAAAAGAACTAGCCACTGAACATCATGAAGGTCTATTTTTAGCTTCTGCAAAAAGTGCAAATGCTGCTGGAGAAAAAAAAAGCCTCTGTTTTAAAAAAAAATATATCTAATGTTTTAGAGATAGAAAAAGTTGATAAAACTTTGGATAAAACCTTTCCCATTAACATGAGTGTAGAGGATGCTCTTGCATTAAAAATGAATACTGATCTCAGCGATAAACAATATCAAATGATCAAAAACTCAGCTCTTGTACACAACGTACATATTTATCTTACCTTGCACGATATTTTCGTGGAAAAATTGAAATGCTATCCTGAGAATATACATTTTTCTGAAATTTCTGCAAAGTGTACTCTTCAAAGCATGTTAGATCACACTGTGAGTAGAATAACAGAAATGATTGATATGCTTAATTTTGGTCAAAGTGATGAAATATTTGGAGTTTTATATGGAAAGATAAGTTTTGATGGAGCATCAAGCCAAAGAATTTATAAACAGAAACACGATACAAGCTCGCAAGTATAGAACTTAAGCATGAAGAAAATCTTTTCAGTACAGCTTTTGTACCTTTATTGCTCAAAGTAGAAGATGGCAAAATTTGGAAAAATTTGTAGACCTCTTCATCTAAAATATAAAAAAGAGAGTCCAATTTTATCCAGAGAAGAAGAATCAGATCTAAAAAATCAAATAAATACCTTAAAGACGTTTTGCAAAGTTTTTAATATTGCAGGAAGAATTTTGACATTTAATATCAGCTATAGGATTTATCTTACAATGTTTGATAATAAAGTAGTTAGCGCACTTACAGAGACAAAATCCACTCAATCCTGCAATGTGTGCAATGCTAAACCCAAGGAAATGAACAATATTGATTTATTAAAATCAAAAACTGAGAATGACTCGGCCTTGGAGCTCGGAATTTCAGCTTTGCATTGCTGGATAAAATGCTTGGGTTTCATTCTTCATTTGAGTTATAAAATTAGAATTAAAAAGTATAAGCCAAAAACAATTGAGGAAAAACTATCTGTAGACTAAAAAAAAAAGTGATTCAGGTACTCTTCAGAGTACGGATAAGCCTATACGTTGATATGCCTAAAATTTAGTCTGGAAACACGAATGACGGCAACACTGCCAAAAGAGCATTTAAAAATAGTGAAGTTTTTTCTGAAATTACTATTTCTGAATTTCTTGGAGAAACTACTATTTCTGAATTTCTTGGAGAGAGAAGCAAAAGAAAAAAAAATAAAAGAACTAGCCACTGAACATCATGAAGGTCTATTTTTAGCATTAGAAGTTGATTGTGATATAATTAAAAGATTGCATAATATTCTCATAACCATATCTTGTGGATATCCTATTAATATCAATGAATTAGATTTATACTGCACTAAAACAGCTAAACGTATAGTGAGTTTATACAACTGGTATGTTATGCCTCCTACTGTACATAAACTGCTACTGCATAGTTCTTCTATATCAAATAAATTACCTTTGCCAATCGGGGTATATTCGGAAGATGCTCTAGAGAGTTTAAATAAACAGATAAGAAATTCTAGACTTAAGCACACGGCAAAAATATCAAGGTTAAACACAATGATGTATCAGATGCACTACCTTCTAGTAAGATCAAAAATATCAAGCATATCTTTTAGAAAACGTAAGAGCTATCGAGGAAAACCGTTACCAGATGAAGTTTTTAAATTAATTGTAATGTAAATAATAAATTTAATGTAAAAAAATACAGTATTTTTCTCTATGTATCAACATCCTTTAAAAACCATTTTTATAAAAATATCAAGTAGAGTAATATATCAAAATTATTTGTTTGTCTTGAAGATTCTAAAAACTAAAAAAAAAATTTTGTACGCGTATAGTCACCTTTAACACGCGTTAACGCGCGTTTTACGCGTTGAAGCTGCGCGTTAAAAAAAAAGTTATCAGCAAATTTGAAATCTTTGACTTAAAAATTATTATTTTAATATATAACATTATTTATTTACGATTTATGTCAATTTTTATTTAATTTTTGCCGTTTTTTGATTGTCCTGAGTCACTGTGCGACGTTAGAATTATCTTGTTCTATTTCCACATTTTTTAGTTTTGAGATAAAACGATTTAAAAAACAAAAACTTTAAGAGACAGCGTATAAATTTTCTTTTCGTATAAATAGAAAACTTATGCTTTTTCCGTAACTTTTTTACTTATAACTTAGGTTTCAATTTAGTAGAAAGACGTTATTTTGAGGAACACAACACTATCCTTAACTCAATTTTTTCAGAAAGTGGAGACAGAACAAGATAATTCTAACGTGTCTTGTAAAGATACTCGCCCCAAGCCTATGTACGGAATTTTGATCGATTTTTTATACAATACTCTATTCAATTTCTTAGTTGGCAAAGATTTTCAACATGCCAATTGTCTGCATACACCAATCTTTTAATTTCAGTCCAAAAATTTTTAATCGGACGCAAATTGGGTACATTAGCAGGGTTTATATCTCTCGGCAAAT